CGAAAAAAGCAGTTGATGTCACTTATTTATTTATTCCTTTCATTTATGTCATTTTTTTTATTTTCATTAACAATGCACATAAGCAGATGGTGTAAGAAAAAACGCTTATTTCAGCATCAATTATATAAAGCAAGTCATGGAAAACTTTTTTAAAAACTACCATTACTGAACACATTTTGAAAGCCCAAAATTAGTTTCATTATTGTCAAATAAAGTGTTTCTAAGCAAAATCTTCCTGGTAAACGCCGGTGAGCTAGGTGCTTTGTATTATTGCATTTCTATCAGCTATGCGCTTTGAGATGACGGAAGAATAAAACCATCAGAATATAGTCAAAACAGAGAAAATCTGTAGTAACTAAACAGGTACAACTATAATAAGAAAGCAGAGTGCAAAGAAAGAACGAGAATTAGAGCGGAATTGTATCACAAGTTTGCATATGTTTGGTCGATAAGGAAAAATTCTTATGTTTTTACTATTTAAACGTATATAAGGAAATGTTAATTCGGTTACAATATTGGATTATTCAATCGACTGCATGTCCTCAACACATACTTTTTTGAATATCTGACTCCACCGGATAAAATTGCTGGCGATGCAGTTTAGTTTTCAGATGCCTTTTTCACTCGGTTGCTAGCTGTTTTCGTTTCTTCAGGTCTCTAATGGTTTTTAATTCGATTTTAATTTTGAGATTTTTTGAACGAAAACTGTTGAGAAATTTGTTATAGGGCAAACAAGAAAAGCCAGTGAGCAGCAAGTACTTGAGCAGCAAAAAAAAAAAGAAACACAGTAGAGAGGAGATAGATTGAATGGTGAACAGTTCGCATCAGTCAGATGACAATCTTAGAAACACAGCAGTGCATATTGGAAATAACTAAAACTATTGCCCTTCTATCACTTCTTTGGAACTTGAAGGAACCTTAGGTCAAAAACAAATTCCTTAACTGTAACGCAAATATCGTTTATTGGCAAAATAAAGTGCTCTGTTCAAGCATTTGTCTACAGTACAAATTTGATGAAAGAGTGAAACACAATATCTCATGAAAAAATCTAGATATAGCTTTAAAAAAAAAAATCTATTTTTAAAACTAAGTTAGAAGAAAAAAGTATTATTTTGCAAATAGTTATACAAGTTGTATATTTGCATAATTCCAGCTAAATCTGTCCTTTTTTTTTTTACAAGTTTTTCTTTTCGTCAAAGGCTTCTAGTTTTAACGGATTCCCTGGCTGTTTCATTTCAACTATTTAATTACAGAATTTATTTTAACAGAGCATTAACAAATTTTGTTGAGTAAAAATCTAATGTTTTTGACGCATGGTGCTTTTTTCTCGCAAATCTTTGACAAATCCTCGTTGAAAGAATGGAATGGTACATGTCAAATACTTACATATCGTTTTTTGCTAAAAAATTACTTTAGCATTCAGTAAGGTAATTAATTACTCTGCTTTTTACATTTTTCTGTTGTCGTGCTTACAGGATCGACTATGAACATTAGTGTGGTATCAGATAAAGAAAAAAATTTCATGAGTTAGGAGGTTAAAGCAAAAACTGATACCATTTGTAGAAGAAGATATATGTAATTGAAGAGAAAATGAGGTATAAAAATTGATAAAGTAATAAAGCAACAAGCTGGATGTGTGAAGACAATTAATTATAAAATGAAATAAACAGTAACTCTTTTAACAGCTTCTTCTGCTAACTAAGCCACTTATTCGACATAATCTTTGCCATGCAAGTTTCTTTGAGTTATGTAAAAGCATTACAAACGATGTGCTAACTTAGCAGATCTCAGAGATGACTGTAAAAAAGTCTTTAAAAACTATCGTATCGAATGTTATAATGTAACCAAGAAAAAGAAGACGAATGAAAATGTAGAAACGTGTTTATAGCGCTCTAAACAAATAAGTTAAAAAGCCATTTGAGTTAAGCAGAGTGATATAGTATAAAGTATTATAAAGCGCAAATGAAACGTTGTTATTGAAATTTGCTACAAAAGTTTAAAACAACAAATGGCCTAAAGTAAAAAAAAAGAAGCAGATTTTTAATGACAATTCAATATTGCAACATTTTAGGATTTTCTCAGGTAAACAGTGGTGAGTAATTGGCTGAAACAGAATAAGTTATTTACCTACTAAAACATAGTAATAGTTAGAAAAAGCAAATTTGTTTACTGTTTGAAAAAAATTATTGTTTTAGAGTCTTTTTGTACTTTTCTTTTATTATTAGACTGTACCTACTAAAATTCTTCTATGATCGCTTTGAAAAAGGTTTTTGTTTTTTGCAAAGCTGATAAACTTAGTGATCTGTATAGGTGAGAATTTGCAGGTAATTATCTAAAATAATTGAGATTTTTAAACAGTAGGCTTTTGATGTGTACATTGAGTAAGAGAAATAATCGACAACCTACTGAATTTTAAATCTTACTAGAAATTAGTTTGTCTTCAATAATAAAAGCAAAAAAAAAAAAAACTGGCTTACTTAGAGAATAAAACTTTCTAATCTTGACAGCATAAAAAATTCTTTTTGACAGCAATTATCACAAGGCCAACAACAAAACTTTATAAGTCACTTAATAGGTATGTTATTTATTTGTTTTTTTTTTTTTTTTTTAAAAATTAAATATTGTAAAAAATTTTTTTTCTAAAATTTGTTAAAAAATACAGACTTATAACTGCTTTTTATACACGGTCTACTTTTTAAACATGTTCTAGATGTATATTGTGTAATATGCGATGATTAGTTTAATTACTTTTTTTTCAATATAGTCAACAAATTTGAAAATTAGTCTACGTTTAAGAATCAGTTGAATGACTTTCTAAAATAGTTTCTGCTGCAAATAAAATGCATACTAATTGGTGTGCAGTAATATGAAAAACTACAGTTGTAATAGAACAATTGTATAAACTCTCTAATGATATGTTTTTAAAAAAGACAATCATAATTCTATTTCACTAAGCTGAAGCATTAGAAATTTTTGAAAAAAAGTTTCTTTTATTTATTTTACTTTTTGCTTTTCGTAAGTTTTAATCAGTCGACGACAGTTGTTACTTAAGTCACTGCCGATAACGGTTTACAGAAAAACGATTTTTCAGACTTGTTGTCTTACCATCATTTCCGTGTCTTTATAAACTGTGAAAGTGATCAGAAAAGACTGTGACTGTAAATGATTTGATAATCAATTCGGAAATGTAAATATCAGACGTTATTTTCCTTATAAAACATTATAAATTCACTTCTAAAGATATTTATAAGCGAGTCAAATAAATATTAACTGCAAACAATGTGTAATTATGACATAAAAAACTTGAGTTAATTCGAAAATTGATGATCAGACGAAAAATAGACAAATTCAACAATGCTTCTTCTCAGGTATTTGTAAAACAGTTGGATAAAAAATAGCAGTTTATTGCAGAAAAAAAATATATGTATAAAAGAATTTTTTCTGATAGATTATTGAACGACAAAGTGATCAAGAAAAATCAGCAAAAAATTATTGATCTCTTTTGAAAACAAATGATAATTACAAAATTTGCTGCGTCTAAATTTCTGCAGCACGTTTTCTGGAAACTGGATAATGGGTCAAGGATTAGCTGCAGCAACTCGAAATTAGTAATAATTACAATTTTTTAGCATAAAATGAAGCTTAGCTTTTTTGTCATTTTTTTTCAACTTCTAATCAGATTTAGGATTTGGTAATGTAGCTTTATACACTGATGCTTTGATCCTTTCCTCTTTCATTTTTGTTTTTTTTTACTTGATTCTTTCCTCTTTCATTTTTGTTTTTTTTTTACTTGTCTTTTTTTACGCTACAGCAGTAAAAACGGATAGTTGCATTAAATAACGTTAAAAAAGAGAAGCATTTAAAAAGGGAAGAAAAAATTATAGATGTGTAATAATTCATGGGATAATTATAGCCTAATTCGATGTAGAAAAAATGACCGCATTAACTGCTTAGTGAAGCATATGTGTTTCAGAGGAAACATGCACAAAAACAGTTGACTATTACTGGATCATAACCGTTTTTAAATAGATCAAATTATCTCTAGGTCTGTTGACATCAAACAGAACATGTTGTTTTGCTGCCCCGTAGACTATGATCAGAAACCAAATAAGACTAAAAAAAAACTAAGAAAAAATTTTTTAGGTTTTTTTTTGTTTATCAAGAGAATATAAGCAGTAATTAAAGCTGATAATATTGTTTCCTTCTTTTAGATATCTTCTTAACGTTATTTTAATTTTCTATGTTTATTTTTCTCAAAAAAAAAAAAAAAAA